TGAATCATCGCCAGTTTTCCCCAAATTTGTCGTTCGGATCGTGGATGGTTCGAACGAGAGGAAAAATGGAGCAGCGATTGGAAGCAGTGGAACGCAGTCGAACAACAATGGAGGAAACGCTGCTGAGGATGGAGACGATGATGCAGAACATGACAGGGAGGATCGATACGATGAGCATTCCGTCAGAGGGGAAGATCGCGATCTCATCACAGTCATCGTTCGCGACCTTCACCTAGCCCTGCCGTTTCCAGAGGTAATTCCGCTCACTCGAATCACACCTATCATAGGCGACGTGATGAGTATGCTAGATTTCCAGTGAATATGGCTCGAAAAGTTGATTTGCCACACTGTTCAATGGGGATGGGGCTTATAACTAGCTTGTAAGGATGGAGAGATATTTTAGATTGAATCACATTACTGAGGATGATAAATTGGAAGTGTCTGTAGTAGCCATGGAAGACCGAGCTCTGAATTGGTTCCAATGGTGGGAACATCAGACCAAGGAGAAGAATTGGGAATCACTTAAGGAATCGGTTATTCGGAGATTCCAACCTGACCTCCTACAGAACCCGTACGGACCTATGTTGAGCTTAAAGCAAACTGGAACAGTCAGAGATTATAGGGATGAATTTGAATTGACCATAGCACCTCAAAGGACTGTGGATAGAGAGATATTGAGGGGAATCTTCATCACAGAATTGAAGGAAGAGGTTAAGGCTGAACTGAAATTATACAATCCTAGATCATTGACTGATGTTATGGATGTGGCTTTACAAATTGAAAGGAAGAATGAGGCTATACACTTGAAAAGACAGGATGTCATGATGGGGAAAAAGACAAGGGAAGTGTGCCTAGCAAATCTCAGAACTGGGGAGAGAGTTCAAAAGCAAGATATGGTAATGCTGGAATCAACACTCAAGGAAAAGGGGTCAATGATAACAGGAATTTCAACTCCTGGTTTGAGAGAATGGGGAAGAAGGTCACTGACATGCAATCTTCAGGGTTCAGGAAGGTGGGACCTCAATTGTCTCAAGAAGAATTTCAGGAGAGAAGCAGAAAAGGGCTGTGTTTTAAATGTGGGGGAAAATGGAATAAGGAGCACACATGCAAGCTGAAACACTTTAAACTAATGCTAGTAGAAGACTCAGATGTTGATGAAGACACAGACTGTGAGGAACATGAAGTCCCAGAAGAGGAAGTGGTGTTGGAATCCAAATCTATGCAGTTATCACTTATGAGTAGAGAAGGGATACCGACTATGAGAGCTTTCAAAATTAAAGGAGTGCTGAAGTGGAATCAGGGAGAAAGACAGGTGGAAGTATTGATTGATAGTGGAGCCACGCATAATTTTATTTCACAAAAATTGGTGGAGGAACTGGAGCTGCCTTTCAACACTATTACAGGGTATAAGGTGCAGATTGGCAATGGAGAAAAGATATCTAATAATAGAATATGTGAAGAGGTGGTACTGTGTTTGCCAGATACTGATATAAAACAGGATTTTTACATCTTAAATCTGGGAGGAACTGACTTAGTTCTGGGCATGGAGTGGCTTACCAGCCTGGGAGATGTTGAAATAAACTTTCAGAAGCAAACCATTAACTGGAAGAGTTCAGGGCTCAATCATTCAGTTCAGGGGGGCCCAAAATTAAGTTCAATGGAAGTTTCATTGAAGACTTTAACACAAATTATACAAGACAATGGAGATTGGTATCTGATATACTATGAAGGAAGTCTAATGCAGATGGAGAAAGGGAAGGATGTGGATTGCATATGGAAGGAGATCTTGGCTGAATTTCCAGAAATAACACAAACATTGGAAGGATTACCTCCATCTAGAAGCTGTGATCATTCCATTAACATTCAGGAGGGAGCCAACATACCCAACATTAGACCTTACAGGAGATGTTGAGCTCTAAAATCATTCAACCTAGTAACAGTCCCTACAGCAGCCCCATACTCTTGGCAAAGAAGAAAGATGGGGGGTGGAGGTTCTGTGGTGTGGTGATTACAGGGCATTGAATAGAATAACAATACCTGACAAATTTCCAATACCTATTATTGATGAGCTATTAGATGAGCTGGGTGGAGCCAGAATTTTTTCCAAGTTAGATTTGAAGTCTGGATACCATCAGATCCGAATGAAAGAAGAGGACAGGAAGAAAACTGCATTCAGAACACACGAAGGTCATTATGAATATCTTGTGATGCCATTTGGATTGACCAACGCTCCTTCTACGTTTCAAGCATTAATGAATCAGGTATTGAGGCCTTTTCTCAGAAAATCTGCTCTTGTGTTTTTCGATGACATATTAATCTACAGCAAATCTATTGAGGAACACCAAAAACATTTGAGAGATGTACTATCTGCTTTGGAGAAGAACCAGTTGAAGATCAATTTGAAGAAATGCTCATTCGGACAATCCCAGTTGGTCTATTTAGGCCATATAATTTCTGGGCAAGGGGTATCAGCTGACCCAGAAAAAATTGAAGCTATGCTACAATGGCCTGCACCTAAGGATTTAAAGGGGTTGAGAGGATTCCTTGGGCTAACAGGTTACTACAGAAAATTCGTAAAGGGATATAGTAAGATTGCCTTCCCTCTTACTAATCTTTTGAAGAAGGATAATTTCCACTGGGATCTGAAAGCAGAACAAGCCTTTGTAGAACTGAAAAAAATTATGACAACACTGCCTGTATTAGCAACACCTGATTTCAACAAGATGTTTGTTATTGAGACTGATGCTTCAGGTACTGGGTTGGGAGCAGTCTTGATGCAGGATGGGAGACCTGTATCATACATGAACAAGGAGTTATCAACAAGAAATCAGAATAAGTCCATCCATGAGAGGGAATTGATGGCAGTTGTCCTAGCAATTCAGAAGTGGAGACCCTATCTGCTGGGCAGACCCTTTGAAGTCCACACTGATCAGAAAAGCTTGAAGTTTATAACTGAACAAAGACTCATGGGCGAGGAACAACAAAGGTGGACCTCTAAATTACTGGGCTATAATTTTACCATAAAATATAAACCCGGGGTGGAGAACAAGGCTGCAGATGCTTTATCCAGAAAATATGCATTGCAGTCCCTATCAATTGTCAGTTGCCAAGAATGGGAGGGACTGGAGGGGGAATTGAATAAGGAACCTAAATGTCAAGAGATAATCCAGCAGGTGATTTCATACCCAGACAAAAAGAAGGAGTTTCAGATCATTAAAGGCTTACTCCACTACAAGAAAAGATTGGTATTACCAAAGGGGTCTGCCAGAGTTCAGAAAATTATGAAAGAATACCATGATTCAGCTGTGGGGGGGCATTCTGGATATTTTAGAACAATGAAGCGGGTGGAAGGATTATTTTACTGGCCTGGGATGAGGAATGATATAAAGAAATATGTGGAGGAGTGTGCTATCTGCCAGACTAATAAGTATCAAGCTCTTAAACCCACAGGTTTACTGCAGCCCCTACCTATTCCAACCAGTATTTGGACAGATATAAGCATGGATTTCATTGGGGGATTACCTAGATCCCAAGGAAAAGACACTATTTTAGTAGGGGTTGACAGATTTACAACATTTGCTCATTTCATAGCCTTATCTCACCCTTTCAATGCAAAGGAGGTGGCAGAAATCTTCATTAAGGAAGTAGTTAAGCTGCATGGATTCCCTAAAACCATTGTCAGTGATAGGGACAGTGTGTTTTTGAGCTCATTTTGGTCTGAAATTTTTAAACTGGCAGGAACTCAGCTTAAATATAGCACAGCTTACCACCCTCAAACAGATGGGCAGACCGAGGTGGTAAACAGGTGCTTAGAAACTTACTTAAGGTGCCTCACAGGAAGGAAGCCAAAGCAATGGAGTCAATGGCTTTACTGGGCTGAATATTGGTACAACACCAATTATCACATAGCACTAAAACAAACCCCTTACAAGGCTCTCTTTGGGCTGGATCCTCCTACAATAGTTAAGGGCGATGTAACACTAACTGCAGTAGAAGAGGTGTCCAACTGCTCAAAGGAATGCTATGCTAGAGGAGTTAAAGATGAACTTGGCTAGGGCCCAAAACTTAATGAAACAACAGGCTAACAAACACAGGAAGAATATACAGCTTGAGGTGGGAGATCAAGTGTATTTGAAAATTCAGCCATATAAACTTAAAAGCTTAGCCAAGAGGGTGAATCAAAAATTGAGTCCAAGATATTATGGGCCTTTTGAAATCATAGAAAAGATCAACAATTCAAACTGTAGTTACCAGAAGACAGCAAAATACATCCTGTGTTTCATGTTTCACTACTGAAAAAAGTGATTCACTACTCAATTTCAGCCACTTCCTAAATGTTTGAGTGAAGAAATGGAGCTCCAAGTGATACCTGAAGCAGTGATGGATTCCAGGGTAAATCAAGCAGGCAATGTGGAAGTTCGAAGTTCTGATACACTGGAAAAACCTACCAAGTTTTGAAGACTCATGGGAATTGCTGCAGATGATGAGAGAGCACTTCCCAGATTTTCACCTTGGGGACAAGGTGAATTTCCAGGGGGGAGTAATGATAGGCTTATAAGTGATAACTGATAAGCCTATTAAATACTTCAATAAAGTCTATCATAGGAGGAATAAGGGAGGGGGTAGCCAGTAATTAGTTATGAGTCGGTTAACTAATAATAAATTCCCTACGTGGAATATTATTATAAATAGAAGTCTGTTAGCCTAGTAGGGCAGGTTGTTGCTCTGAATAGTTGGCTGTCAGGAGTTTGGGCTTCTCGAATAGTCCTTGAGCTTGTACGACCTATCTAGAGTTCTCTCTTTCAATAATAATCCCTTTGATCTGTTCTTACATCACTCTGCAGATTTGATATAGTTTGTATAGCTTAATACCAGTGTTCTATCAGAGACAATTTTGGTACATGTCTTTGCATTGTTCCACAGTTAGTCTCGACTATTGTGACATCGACACTTGACAGTAAAATTTGAAATTTTCCACAACAGATGAAGGATTTAAAAAGTAGGGAAAAATAATATAAATACCCCAAACTTTGATGGGGTGTGAGATAAGTACCCCAAACTTGTATATGTAATATATATACCCTGAACTTTATCTAAAAAGTTATTTTCACATCATGATTGTGTTTTCATACAAATATAAACTTATTAGAATAATTGCATAATTTAAAATACTCTAAATTTTGTTAGGATGCAATTAACATTCTAAAAATTGATTTGTGAAATAAATAATAGTACATCCGTTACAATTTATATTTAATTGCATCCTCATAAATGTTTTTGTATTATATATTATGCACTTAACACAATAAATTACATTTGTGAAAAAAAACATATGATCATGATGCAACATAACTTCTTATATATAGTGTTTGGGGTATGTATATTACATGTGTAAGTTTGGGATGCTTATCTCACACCCCTTCAAAGTATGGGATAATTTGTATAACTTAATTTGTACTATATAATAGTAATAATACATAGTATATTACAAATTAGAGATACATTTGAATATATTACTTTGCATATTTAATTACTACGTATTGTGTGACTAGCTGCCTAATTGTCGCCTAGGCGATAAGGCAGTCGGTTGGCACCGTGCCTCGCCTTACTGCTGTGACAACCATGCCTACAAGTGGAAAGAAAACTCTGCAATTTAGCAATCATTTGAGAAAAAACCCAGGTGGAAATGATCTTAGACACGCAGAGTAGCATCTTCTAACATCTAACTGAAAAACAATTTAGTAAATTACTCAACATTAACTTCAATGTAACTCATGACTAGTGCCTGAAGTGCGTGTTTGAGTAAGGTTTATGATACAAAACAAAAAATGCACAATCCAATTACCAGATAAAAATCCTCCATGTATGTGGTATGCTTCTTTGGAATGATATCCATTATGCAATGCTGTTGAAGAACAATCACCAGCACCATCATGATTAATCCCCTTCAAATGTTTCCCAGTTCTCTATTTAAGTAATCGACAAACATCCTCTTAGAGCTGCAAGCATCTGAAGGAGGGGGTGGCCCACTCAGGCTAGCCTGCCCAGTAAGCTTAATGAAGGTCCGACGAAGCCTTCGCAACTCCGGCAAGCTAACTGGTTTTGAAATATCAACGCTAGGCAACCCTGTCCCTATAAATACACCATTGATTGGCCCCCCAAGTGCATTAGATTGTGCTTCTACAATAGCGTTGGTCACTTCTTGAGTCGCTTTGTCCATCTCATATAGAGAATTAGCCTCTGATGCCCGAGCACTTTGTGTCGCAATTGTTGGCTGTAAGATCTTGACGTCCCTTGTTTTCGAGTCAACTCTTTTAGTCAGATACAAAACAGCATCTAAAATGGCTTGGTTAGATTTGTCAATCCCATCTCTAGAAGGCCATAGCTCAAACAATGGAGAATCCCATCTGTTTCTGCTATCTGGCCTCTCAAACCTTCTCACCAGATCTTGAAAAATTACATCATCATACACAGGTTCTCCTTTCTCTTTACGTTCATTATTCCATGTTTGGCACGTGTTGTCATCCACGTCACAGTGCAATACACAATATCTTGTCCCGGCCGCTCGAGCCAAGCACCACAACTCATATCTGTAACCTTTTATGCTGTTCAAGGAGTCAACGATGATAACATTGTCTCTTGACAAGGATCTGTCGACTTCAGACCTTAAAATTCCCCGTAGGTTCTTTTCAGCGGTCATGTCAGCATAGGTTTGGTTACGACTAAGATGAAAGGATGTTTCGTCAATTATTCTGACAGAAGGTTTATTGTCAGAGTCGTTAAGAGCATCGGCTAAGCAGGCTGCTGCAGTCGACTTTCCACTACAAGGTTGGCCGCATATGACAACTAATGCCATCCACGTAAACTGAAATCACGATTAAATATGCCTATTCTGATTTTTTTAATCTGAAATATAATAAATATGTACATAAGCTAGTGTCAGATTATTTATTTCATAAAAGTGCTTTTAAATGCAAAAGTCTATAGACAATTAACAGCAGTACATAAGAAATTTATATAATAGGAAGTACACCAATAAAAGAGCATCAGCAACAAGAACTGCAATTATAAGCCCACTTCTATTCAGTCTAAATCATTTCCCTTGGTAAATTTAAGCACTAAGTCTGGACCAAACCCATTACATATATCTTATAAAATGATGCAGTTTGCTTTGCCAATTTCCCCATCAAAACTAGCCAAAGAAAAAGTACTCCTAACATATACTCAGTATAAAAGTAGACTCTTTGTGGGGAAGGGAAGGTGGGTTTCAATGTCAATTGGTTTCAATGTCAATTGGTTTATATAATAATCTTGATAATGATAGGAGTTGGGAAAATAGAAGCGTTATGCAAAAGACTAAATACAGGCCTATGGCAATAATGATAGTTAAGGTTCTTAATACAAAAAACATACATTTCGAAAAAGTCCCTTACGCAAATAATGGAAGGGTGAAAACCGCTTATTCTCACCCCTTAAATTGAATAAATAATGTTCACTTTGTCAAACTAGAGTCCCGCATCTCTGAACAATTTTTTTTGCTTAAGGCCTAAGCAATAAAAAATGTACAAAAAAAAGCAAAATCCTTCTTGTGTAGATGCAACATCATCAAAGCCTTAGTCCCAAAAGACTATGGGGTCAGCTAATATGAATAGATAAAAAGAAAGCATTAAAATGATCAGTTGAAAATTTGGATTTACGAAAATCAATGTTTAAGTACCAAAAAGTAGGTATAAATGACAGTTTACCCAAATTGGCAAATAATCAAATTTCTTCATCCAGAAATTGGCGGAAAGTTTAAAATGAGCATAATCTTAAAAAACTTGTAAAACCCTTTTCTGAACCGTTTCATTTTGGTACCTGAATCACTCTCATCCTCTGAATTCTCATCGTGAGGAAGACATCCAGGATTTGACTTCTTCACACAAACAAAATTTTCCATCGAGCTTTTTTACTTAGGACCGCTTTCTCTAAACTTCTCGTCTTTTATTCTTTCTCCCATCCTGATTCAACCATTTTTATTAAATCTTTGAATTGATTAGATTTACAAATTTATTTATAATCGACTTTTACCTAACAAAATCAACAAATTATAAGATCAACGCTCAATAGGTAACAATCAACCATTAAGAATATGAAATAAACATTTATCAACACTCAATGACCTAACAGCTAACAAATGAACTAACTACTTATCATTTATCAACTATTTATTACTCCGTATTTATAAACTTTAAACAACTTTGAATGACATCAATTAATAAACTAATCAAATAAATAATCATATTAAATTATTAATCAATAAAAGAAGGCTGGGGAGTCTGGATTCTAATGACGGGAGTTGGGAGGAGTACGGAGTACCTGAAACGGGTGAAAGCTGAATCCGTGAGACAGTGAAGGTGATTGTGCAGCCTGAAGGCTAAAGCTGAAGTTGAACCTCTGATCCGTAATACGGAATATTCATTTACTCTTTTCGGTGTTTTGGGCCATTGGACGGATCAGGCGATTGGGCCGGACAATTTCATTAATTTAGGGCTGAATATCAGGTTACTCCCACCTATTAGATCGGGCTTAAATTCTTTTCATTTTCTTGGTCCTAACTCCTACGGCCCCGCCCTGTCCCCAGGGCCGCCTTTGGAGATCCTATTCTTTTCTAATTTGTATTCAAAAATTTAAAAAATAAATAAAATAAAAACACAACTATATTTGCCTGTGTAAAGATTCTCATAGTAAAAAGGCATAGTTATTTAAATAATATTTTTTTTGACAAAGTTATTTATACCATAATTAAATAATGTAATTTGAGTATTTTTTGAGATTGTTTTGATAGGTATATAATATACTGAGGACATTGATAATAACTGTAATATTGTAAATGTATTATTTTTAATATTTGATAATTAAATTATCAAAATGAGAGTTAGGACGTCCGAAAAATGAAAGTGAGAACCCCAAGCTGGGATGGATGGTGTAACATATAATGAAATACTACGTAGATCGAGGAAATTGTTCAAACTAAGACTAAAATATTGACTTCTTCCAAAAATAGGATCATATGTTTAGTTTTTCTTAAATAGGACTGATCAATCAATTTTTACCCCTAATTTAATTAATTAAATAATTAACTAGTTAATTGTCTCACAAACAGAGGTCACGCTTTATTTTACGACATTGTGATTTTTACACTTTTCATCTTAATTGCAACATTATCATCTTTTCACTATTCTCACACCTTACTTTGATCATGTTTTTCTATTAATGTATGTAATCAAATTATTATTTATAAAATATTACAGAGTACTAAATTATTGATGTGAATTTACAACATATTAAATTTTACTCCGTATTATATTTACTAATACGTAATTACATATAATTATAGTCAAAGTTGTACGTTCACAAGCATGAAAGTTAAATTGTTGCAATTAATAAAGAACGGATGTAGTATATCTAATGTTTCTGTGATGACTTATTTATAAAAGTATATCAATTGTAAAAGAAAAAACTAGCTCAACTCAACTGTGGAGCTAAAAATTAAACTGATGTGGAACCCTCACCTCATTTGAGCATTGAGTCACATACTTCTCTCTCAATATCACGATTGGTTGCTAAAAAATAAAAGTTATTTGAATGACACAAAGGTGGTGCCCCTATTTATTCCCTCTTAAAATTAATTATAAGTCAAATTATATTCTTCTAACTTAGTTTCACCTGTGAGATCTTTCTGCTGAAAAAAACATACCCCCACGTCCAGCTAAAATTGTCCAATTTTACTTTTTGAAAAATCTCATTAAGATTGTTCCATACCAAATTTAATAAAGTTTGTGCTGCTCTAAATCATTCTTATTTACTCTTACTTTATTTTTTCCCAATGTTACTGCGACGGAGCCACGGAGGTAGTAATTTTCTTGATTGTCTCGTAGATCACATAAATTTAATTTTATTTGCCTTATAATTACCTTTTGTTAGTCACTCTTGAAATGTATGGTATGGTTTGGAGTTTTCAGAGTCTTTCAGAAAACAAACTCTGTCAAGATAACAAAGCCATATATTCACTCCATATATTTCGGGTATGATGTCCAAATAAAAATTGTTACTTTTCGTAAAATTTGTTTCCTATTTGCTTATATATAATATGTGTAAGGATGTTAACTTGGGCAATTTTCCGTTGCTACAGCTCCAGACGGTTAACTCCGTTTATATGCTCGCTCTATAGAATGAGTGGTGGATGGTTTCCCATTTCATTTCACATTTTATCACTCTCCGCCATAGCTCTCTACGATGTGAGGGTCTCCTCACCATCCGTACCCCGTCTGCTCTCTTATTACAGCAACCACGGCCGATCTGCTTTCTCACACACGCAACCGGACTTCATGGCTCTCTCTATGATCTTCTTTGTCTACATATGACCTGCTCCCATCCCCACTCTCCATAAACTCAAAGCTAAGCTAGGGTTTGCGGAGAAGTCTTTTGCCGAAGCTGCCTAGCGTCCGCAAGAATCAATCTTCTCCAGTGCCTAGGTCCACGAGATTCAATCTTCTCCGGCAATATGGTAACATCACTTCACCCCTCTTCATTTTCTGTAACACCGTCCCCAAATGTATTTACTTTGAAGTAAATGATGTAATAAACCTTATGGAATGATTTATGAATTTACGAAGTTGTAAATTTTTATTAATTCTTTCGCGTGAATAGTAAATTGCACGTGGGACCCACACCGGGAGCGGGGGCCGCCCGAAATTCCCGAGACCATATATTTTATTCATCTTGGTCTAGATAATAAATATATAGTGGTGGATATTTCATTTGGGCCATGGAAGGGCCCGGAGTTGACCGATTGGTCAAAAGAAGCCTAAATTACTGGTACTGGTAATTTAACAGATAACAGCCCGAACTGAATTTCGGAGGCTTATAAATTAAAGTTGGGGAATGTATATTCAGTATACATGTCATAATGAGTAAGAGCACATAATATATTTTATTTGACCCGATAAAATAAAATATATTTAAAACAGTTCGAAAAATACAACTTTCGGGACCAATTGTACACACCGGGACACAAAGGGATGACATCCCACATGAGTGGGGGCCACCCCACGTTTTTGTGTGCAAGAGTTGACTAATTGGTGCCATAAGGACACATGAAGGATGGATGATAGGATGGGAGGAACATGGTTGAAAGCTAATGGACCCCTTTCCATCCACTCATTGGCTAAAGGAGACAAAAACCACCTCTCCACCCTCTTTCATCTATCATGCTCGACCAACCAAGCAAAAGGAGGAAGGAAAGAGCTTTGCAAACCATCCCCATAGCTGAAAATTCGAGCTCAACCTAAGGGAGTCCAAGGAGGAAGATAAAAGAAGGAAAAAGTTGGGAAAAGTGTGATTAATTAAGGTAATGACCTTATTATAACTTTTCCTTTAATTTTCTTCTACCATATGAAGTATATATCATATTAAGGACCTTTAGCATGGTTCCACATCTTATAAGTATGGATTTATGGGTTGAAAGGTGGTTCTATGTCCAAGAACGGACTTAGGAGCCAAAACAACCGGTTCACCGGAAAATAACCTTTTTGAGGTTATTTGTATTAATATGGGTTTTATGATTATAAAACCTTGTTAGGCACTTGTAAAGGGTATTTCAAGTGATTTCACAAAGTTGGAAAAGTCGCCGGAGTTGTCGCCGGAGTTGACCAAAAGTCGCCGGAGTTTCACCGGAGTTCAACCAAGAGGGGTAGAACTTCATAACGCTAGTTCAAGGTGAGTGGACGGCTTAATATCTTATAACTTTTGGGTTAATTATGAGATTACCTAAATAAATGTTATATGAGTTCATAATGATGTTTAAAAGATATTTAAACATGTGATTAGCCAATAGGGTTAAGTTTGTATGAAAGAAATTAATTGTTGATGCATGGAATATGATATGAAGAATTATATGAAATGCATATTTGTTTGAAGTGTATTAGAGGCACAAATGAATATTATTAACTTGATTATATGATGATTAAGTTGATACACACAAGGCATGAAATGGCGGTCAACGAAAACGTTGACCGATGGACAAAGGATTTAATTAATACCGGTTGGTATTAATTAATTATAAATCTATATGGATGCATGGTTTTGCATGGATTGTGATACATAAGCTTTATGTATTGAATTAGTTATGAGTAACTAAGTATGATATAGACTCTATCTAGGTTGATAGAAGGTTGATCATAGGAAAATATTTTTGTGGAGGACTCTAGTACTTAAAAGTACTTAACACTCAAAATTTGGTGGAGGACCCTAGGACTTAAAAGTCCTTAACACTCGGATTATAAATTGGTGGAGAACCCTAGGACTTAAAGTCCTTAACACTCGGATTATAAATTGGTGGAGGACCCTAGTACTTAAAAGTACTTAACACTCAAAATTTGGTGGAGGACCCTAGTACTTAAAAGTACTTAACACTCAAAACTTGGTGGAGGACCCTAGGACTTAAAAGTCCTTAACACTCAAACTTGGTGGAGGACCCTAGTACTTAAAAGTACTTAACACTCAAAACTTGGTGGAGGACCCTAGGACTTATGAGTCCTTAACACTCACAAACCGGTGGAGTACCCAAGGATTATGATCCTCAAAACTCATAGATTAAGATATTGAAATAGGGGCAAGGAGGAGTCCTATACACTCATAGGTATATGGGTGGGTTGGGGTTTTTAGTCAAGAATATTGACTATTACTATTTTTCCCAAATAAAACGGTGATCTACGGATCGGATATTTTCCAAGTATATATATACTAATAAGTATTTCATAACTTGGGGGAAAGACTATCTATTTAAGTATCACCCTATGTTTGGGTCTTATACTTGAAACGCTAGTTATTCTATATTTAGCCTGCTACTCGCTCGGTACTTGTACTGACCCCTTCGGGGGGCCCCACCATTTTCAGGTTGAAGCTAGGGCTTGCTACTTGCACCTTCTCACGGGTGATATCAAATCAGGAAGACGTGGTTCGTGCTTCCTTATTTTCTTTCAAACTAACGAACACTTGCTCATGGATATTTGTTTTGCTATAAACTATTTTTGGGGCTTGCATGCCCATGTTGTTGGCCGGATGTGGCTCATGACTTACTGTTGAATATTTCCGCTATTCATTGGTTTAAATGTGATGTTGTTATGTATGTTTACTACTGAGTATGGATGGATTATATTCTCAGACGCCTTGTGTAATTAAGTGAGGTTGACTCGCGGGTGACTTCACTTGATTATACGACGGTTGTACACGCGCTTGGATTGCGGTCTGGGGCGTGACATTTTCCTACTTCTTCCATGGATCCCGCCCTTTTTAACACAAGAGTAGTATCAACTACTCCCGTCAAAGCCAATTTTACCTCTAATTGTTTCCATGGATTCATTTCTAGATTTGGTTCAATTAGCCAAAGCTTCCCAAGTTCATCCATGGCTTCTATATTAATCCAGGTTCACTTTTTA